GCCGCCGCGGCGTCATGGGCCCCCTCCCCGGGCCTCAGCGGGCACCAGCCGCGGGAACCCCCGGGCCTCCTCGCGGCCGAGCCTGAGCGACCCCCGGATTCTCCGGCGCCCCCTCCCTCCGCCCTATATTTTCCTACTCTCGCCGCCGCTACCCGTTCTGCTCTCCGTTATGGCAACGGAGCCGCCATCCCCCCTCCAGATGGAGGCTCCCTGCCCCGCAGAAATGCGGACCCCACCGGCGAGCGAGGATGCCCCCGAGGGCACCCCGCAGCCGGCGGGCGGCAGGCTGCGCTTCCTCAACGGCTGCGTACCCCTCTCGCATCAGGTGGCCGGGCACATGTACGGGAAGGACAAAGTGGGTAAGTGGGGGTGGCGCGGGGCTTGCCGCTCCCCTTCCGCCTGGGCGAGACCCCCGGGCTGGCCAAGGCAGCCTGGAGCTCACGGGTCGGGCTGGACACCCCCCGCCGGCTCTCTCTCGGGTCTGCACGCCGCACCACCGGCCTCTTCCGCTCTCCCTCGGAGCCTGGCCACCGGCACGGAAGGGGCTCAGAAAGTGGGGCGATTTCTAGAGGGTGTGGGGCGTCGTGTTTGCAGCACGGGCGGCGGGGAGAGACGTGCCTGGTCTCTCTAGGGAGGAAGATTGTTGATTGGGGACATTGTTAGCAAAATTAAAAAAAAAAATAGGGAACTTCATTTTTACTGGCTGGGGAAGTAAATTCTCCCCTGAGCCTAAGGTCTGTTTATTATAGGCGAGCAGCTATTGCAAAAGAAAAGGAATGAAATGCAGATGATGCTAATCTAGTGCTTCTTGGTGCAGCTGCATAGCTGGAGGGGAAGGAAAAAACTGGTTTTTTTTTGTTTGTTTGTTTGTTTTTGTTTTGTTTTTTTTGGGTGGGGGAGATGTGGGGATTGTTCTTGTCTTGGCTTATTGTGATCTCTCCCAGCCCCTTGAGGTTTTCGGGTGCCTCCTAAATTTCTCTGGGAGGCGTGGTTCCAGTAGTGCAGAAACTCGGGTTCATAGTAGGAACTACACCCTGCTGTTGCACTAGAATGGTACTGATAAAACATTCGGTTATTCTTGTTCGTCTTCATAGGACTATACCATAGCCTTTGTTCTACATTTTCTGAGTTTACAACTTCTAAAGCACAATCCAGGGCCTATCTCAGTTTCGGAACCGTAATTCACCTGGTTTACAGTGATTTCCTGGGCCATGATTAAGTGAGGAATTTGGTGAATCAGGTTGTGAATATTGCGGATCTTTTGACCCGAGGAGCCACTAGAGGCAATTTGGTTTATGCTGGTAAGGTAATACTGACATTTTTAGACCAGGAAACATCGGCCAAGCCTAGTTAAGTTACAAACCTAAGTCACACAGCAGCTGTGTGTTAGAATCCTGAAACCCAGGAGTACTGTGGTTTTCTACGATGTATTGTGCTTATAGAAACAGTTCAAACAAGGCTTTTCTTAATGTTAAAGAATATTTATTTATTTATTTAATTCCATTTGTTACTATTTTTTTTAAAAATTTAACCAGAGACTGAGAGAGAGAAGGGGAAAGTGAGAAAGCAAGCTGCCAGGTTGGGACCTGGAACTCAACCGCAGTGGACCATGTGGGAATCCAGCGCCTTTAACAATCAGTACCACCTGCTGGATCCAAACAAAGCTTTTTGAGAATAGATGTGTGAGTACTAGTTTGAATGTATTTTATTTCTCAAAGAGCAACATTTTCCACTACTTTTATTTTATTATATTTTAAAGAGTTTTTTTTTTTTTTTGAGAGGATTTTTGCTATAGGGCGCGGGCGCTCCCCAGCACAAGGGCGAGGGAGAGACAGAAAGCAAGAAAGCAAGAAATCACCCCCAGGGGAGAAGGCCAGGCCGCAATCCCTTCTCCATTCTCCTCTCAGGATTTTGGGCATAAATGGACACACAGCGAGAGTTTAAGCCACAGGGTCTGCGTCGACTACATGGGAGTCCAGTGACACAGCCATTACGCCAACTCCTGGTCTCTGCAGAGGTTTTTTTATAGGGTGTGTGCATTCACCAGAGGGACAGAAAGTGAGGAATTATTGCCCTCCCCCTGGGGGAGTATGGCCAAATCATTGGAATTTTGGGCACACATGCATAGGCGCTGGTGTGAATTTTGCCAGGGCCAGTACTGGAATCATGATTATGTGGGAGTGCAACAAGTAACCATTACACCATCTGCTGGTTCCCCCACTACTTTTATTTTCGCATACTACTTTTTTCTTTCTTTTGGGGTGGGGAATAGAGGTTTTTTTTGTGCTGTCGGGCAGGTACGCTTGCCAGAAAGACAGAGAGAGACAAAGAGACAGAAAGCAAGACATCACCCCCCAGGGAGGATGGCCACGCTGCAATCCCTTCTTCATTCTTCTCTCAGGATCTTGGGCACACATGCACATGCGCCTGGTGTGAGTTCAAGCCACCAGGTCTGGGACTCAAACCTCAGTTGACTACATGGGAGTCCAGCAACATAGCCATTATGCTAACTGATGGTTCTAATGAACTATCCCTATATAAAACCAATTTCATTGATTGTGGGACCTATAAGGAGCGTGGCGGCATGGTAGTTAAGGTGTTGGACTCCCACATGGCTAACAGTGGTTTGAGTCCCTATCCTGGTGGCTTGAAAATCATGTCAAAAATCTTGTGCCCAAAATCTAGAAGGGAATGGAGGAGAAGGAGTTGAAACATTGTGGGGCGGGGGTGATCTCTCTCTCTCTCTCTCTCTTTCTCTCTTTCTGAGACACATGCTTTATGGCAACAACCTAAACAATTTTTTTCATTGTTACTTAAGCGTGTAACCACTCTTTATCAAAGTATATAACAGTGATCCTATTCGGAGAGTTATTTGTAATTATAAATGAACCCTGAAAGTGACTTCAAACTACATTGCAGTGACTTAACTAGTTACTTTGTCACTCAAATTGCCTGATTAAAAGATATTAGATTTTAGAGGAAGTTTGTAATTTTATTTATTATTTCATTCATTTTAAAATGAATTTTCTTCCGTTTTGTAGAGTTCATTTGAGTAGGACTGTTTTTGTATCACCAGAGTATAACACCTCAAACATACTGTGTATTAGGAACCCGATAAATAATTGGTGAATTTAATTCTCAGGTAGTTTTACAATCTTGCATATATTGTTAGTAAAAGGACATCTGGATGATGATAATTTTCCTTACTCATAAACTGGCAAAACAAGATGGTCAGTAATTCAAAGTTCAGTGTCTCTTCACTGTCGTAAATTACTTACAGTTTAAAGTACATTTTTTAGATTATACTTTGGTCTGCCAACTGAACTAATTCTCAGCATATAGCTTTGTTAAAGGCATTGTGTGACTATTTGCTTTTGTTTCATTATTTAATTTTTGTTACTGTTATTAGGGTTTCTCAGTTTATGATTCATAGCTTACTAATTTCCAAACAATGAGTTATTGGCTTTGTTAGTTTAAATATTATTATAAAAACGTGGAGCTTAAAAAAGACACTTGAACAGAGAAATCTTGTTATAGCTAAGTAGTAAGAATATGTTAGTTTTGATATTTGAGTTATACTTTATGGTCTTGGCTGAAATCATATTGCACCAAAACACATTCACTTTTTACTTCAAAGAATTAGAAGTGTTTAGTTTTTTAAAGTTGTAAAAGTAGTACATGCCTTTTTAGGAAAGAAATTCAAACAGTTTAAATAGTGTCCTTCTCCCTAATGCTTATTGTCCCAGGGGCATGTACTGTCTATTTCCTCTATATCTTTTCATGCTTTTATTTCTGGGCACATATTATGATTTTTCAAACAAATAGATATGTAAGCAATTGTTCCTTTTCAATCTTGAGTATATTGTACTACTGTATACCTGCATATTTATACTTAGGATATACTTCATTAAAAAAAAGTTTTATTCTATGGCATGAATGTATCACAATTTAGCTGTTTTTCTAATGGTAGGTTTTTAGATTTTCACCATTTTTTGCTATTATAAATAATGTTCTTTTTAAACATTTTTCTTTTTAATAAGAGATTTTTTGCTGTAGGATGTGCCCGCTCGCTGGAGAGACAGAGACAGAGTGAGAAATCATCCCCAGGGGGGATGGCTATGCTGCAGTCCCTTCTCCTTTATTCTCTCAGGATTTGGGGTATACACACATGCACCAGGTGTGAGTTTCAGGCCTCCTGGTCTGGGACTCAAACCATAAACCACGGTCTGCCATGTGGGAGTCCAGCACCTTAACCACTATACCACCCGCCAACCCCATTATATACATTCTTGTACATTACTGTGTATCATTCACATTGTGTACCTATTTCTATTGAAAAATTTCACAAGTATTTGAGAGCTATTCATATAAATTCCCAAATCATCAAGGTTAGCATAAAATCTCTTTTCTGTTATTTTTTTTAAAGAATTATTTATTTAATTTTACTTATTCATTCATTTATTTTAATTTGACCAGAGAGAGATAAAGAGGGAAAATGAGAAAAAAAGCCACCAGGTCCAGGACTCAAACTGTGGTGGTCCATGTGGGAGTGTCCAGAACCTTAACGTGTGCCGATGTGTGATTGTCCAGAACCTTAACCACCACACCACCTGCTGGTCTCTCCCTTTTCTTTTTTAATATTTAACATGTATCGGGACCAGCAGGGACCAGCAGACGGTGTAATGGTTATGTTGCTGGACTCCCATGTAGTCTACCACAGTTAGAGTCCCGGACTCGTTGGCTTAATGGCTTAGGCCATATTAGGTTGCATGTATCTTTCTTTTTTTTTTTCTTTTTTTCAGCTTTTTTTTTTTTTTTTAAAATTTTTTTTTTACAAAAAAAAGACTTGTAAGAACAATAGATAAAATTTTATTTTATCAAATTTGTTTTATCTCCTTATGCATATTTTTTTTCTGAATTTTGTGATTAGGTTGCATATGTCATAGTACTTTGCTTGGTAGTACTACAGTGTGTTTTTCATAAGAACAAGGGTATTCTATTTTATTCTGTAGCCATAACACATTTATCAACTATGGGACATTTAGCAGAGAGAAAATACTTTGTAATTCATGTACATACTAATTTTCGCGCTTTCTGTTTCTCTATCTCTGTCTTTTTGGTGAGTGCACGTGCCCTATAGCAAAAACCTCTCCAAAATAAAAAAAGTTAACATGTATCATTAATTTCTCTCAAAAGTCCTTAAAGTTTTAAACATGATTGCAATCTGGTATTTGTATCTTGATCAGATTTAGGATGTAGAAATGTCTATAGGGGAAACAAGACTTTAAACTGATAACCATTGTAGAGGGATGATCCAATACTTCTTGGCTTACTGATCTTTCTATATCAGAGGTTCTCT